TATTATATCAGGTAAAAATCCTTGCAAACATGTATATATTCATGGCTTTAGCTGGGGAGCTGTCACAGAAGTAGCTGCAGTGCACAGATGAGTGGTTATGCAGGGCTATTTTTTTCCCAGTTAGGATGTAAAATTGGTAGAGCATTGTTTGGGATTTTGAATTTACTATCTGACACCATTGAAAGGCAAAAGCTTCTTCACTTCAACACAGAACTAAATGGGATTTGAAAGGAAGCTCAGGAATTTGCAGGATTGAATGATTATGTGAGCAGAGTTCAAAAGTGGWATTTCCCAGCTCCCTCAGAATTTAACAAAGGTTACCTCAATCAGGGGAAAGCACCGATTTTTGTCCTGGATTGTTAATTTGTGGCCAAGACACCCCTATGAGGCAGCACTGGAAAGACTGCAGGAGGAAGAAAGCCATTTTTTAAGCCTGTTAATTGACCAAAAGAAAAATGCCATTCTTCAAGGATATGCAAAATTGCCCTTTACACTTAACTATCATAAGACACTGACATGGATTACAAGGTACAGAAGAACAAAGATCTACCTTATTCCCAATTTTCTGCTCATTCTAGARACCATGCAGAGAAAAACACGATATAAACAACAGGATGTCTTTAGGGTACACAGCACTTGATCAAACAACATTGCTCACCTCATGCTTCCAGCCAAACAAACTGTGCAGCTGTGGATGCACAACACAGAGCTCCACGTGTTTTGCCTTCTGAGAGGCAAAATTTATTATTTAGGAATTTCTTATGCAATAACAGCTTTTCACAGCTTTTGGATTACACAACTCAGGTCTCACTGGCCCAGAGCCAGTCTCACAGGCTGAGAGAACATCTGCCTCATGGGAATGCAGWAGCCAGATGTGCCAGAGTCGAATGGGTGATGGACAAAGGTACCCAACATTTGGCAAATTCCAGTTGTCCCACGGTCCTCTGGAGTTTCCCAGTGGTTATTTGGGGAACAAAGTCAGTAGTGCTAAAAGCCTTGTGCCAGATGTATTGCTGCAGTTAAGAACACCCCCTGCAGCATATGGAATCAAATAATGAAATAGGGAAGACCCTTGAAAATCTGCTGCTAGAATAAGGAAGTAGTTAATTTGCTGTAAAGTATTYTTCCTGGAGAAAATTCCATCAGAACTGTCACATCTGAGGAAATCTGTCAATTTCCACAAAGAGATATAGGAGAGAATAACTTATTCCTGTACCTCCCACCAACAATCTTTAAAATGTACACAGGGAACAGATGCATAAAGATGACTTGATTTTCTTCCCCATGGATTTCTTTATCCATATCCTGTTACGTCTCACTTTCCCCCACCTCCTCTCTTATTTCCTTAATTTTCCCTTAAAAAACAGACCAAAGCTAAAAGTTGACAGAGAATTTAATCCAACTCTTCATTTAATTGGAGACACAATGACTATTAATCCTTCCTAAGCCTTTGCAGAGTATCTTGTTTTCCATGAGGAGAGGCCAAGTCATCCCTCAGATAAACCAGAGAGGAAATGCTGTGCAAAACCAAACTGTGCTGGACTAAATACTCAATAGTTGGACACTTCAACAAGTATTTGCTAATTGTGCTTCTTAACACAGACCCCTCCCAAATAAACGTAGCAGACTTCACATTGCACAATTTAACTAATAGTCTCATTATTGTGGTTGGTGTTTTATTCTGTCTCAAGATTGTTGGATTTTTTTTCCCTTTTGTACATCCCTTAATATCAAATTTGTTACCTAATGTTATGACAACGGGAGGTGATTTTTACATTTTCAAACAGAAAGAGACATGATCACGGACTTAATTAGTTCACTACGATTTAATTAAAATTTGCAGAACAACAATGTACCTAATTAGAAACATAATAATTATGCCAATGTACCTTTCCATCTTTGAAGGGACCATTAGTCATKGAGGTGGTATGTTTTGTAATTTAAGATCATCCTAATTTTCATTTTTGACTAGTTAAGTACAGTCATCGTCATGTTCAGGTAATTGCTTTATTAACAAGCTTAATTAAAGTTCCTGTAAAACTGACAGCTACAAAGTTATTCTTCTTAATGTGTTGCTCACAAATACATTAACTAATTACACCGAGCTCTTTACAGGGCTTATGTACCTCATAAGCTTAATTCATTAGTACTTTAAAGAGCTTTGAAAACTCTGACTGTAATAACCTATGGAAGAGCTTKGCATTGTCACAATACTAAATAAAGCTGTTATACCCAGGAAACTTCCTTGTACATGTGAGAGATGGTGTGCATTTGAAAACACCTGYATTTCAAGCAGTGACTGGAAAAATATCAGTGAAATTTTTGATAAAGTTAAATTCCTTAGAGTCCAAAGCTCATGGGAAAGGGTAATAGGGAGTTTCCAGAAATACAAGCAAATTCTGCAAGTTCARAAAACACTCATTTTTCAGTTGCTGAAAACAGGGTTCAGGGACAGAGAACATACAGGCCACATCTGTGTTCAAATTTTGCCATGCAGAAGTGCTGAATTACGGGTGTAACTGAAGAATCCCATTGCTTAGAAGAATTACTTTGTCATCTGGAAAATAAAACTAGAACAATAAAACCCCATCACACATTACAGGCTTATTATCCCTTTCTACTTTAGCACTTGTGTGCAGCAGATGAAATAATCCACGTCAAGTCTGGAAGATTTCAGAGAAAGAATGAGACAGGTTTAATGCCTAAAGGATGGTGAGACTTTCTAAAGCAGTACAACTCCCACACATGAAGCTAAATCAACTCAAGAGTCATCAAAGTTCTTGGTTTGTCTCCTATAGTTTAGGGACCCTTAAATCATTGTAGCACAAGATGTGAGCATGGCATTTCCATAATTTTTAACATTTTAACACTATATGTTGGAAATCAACACCACTGAATATTTTCCTATGGAAGATTAAAAAGAAGAAAGATTCCTTTGACTAGCCCTCAAATTAATTGTAGGGATGTCTTCTGTCTTTGGTGGAACTGCAAGGCTGAGTTAAACACCGTGAACCTCTGAGTACACCAACCAGTAAGCTCAAGGAGCTTTAGTTTACCTTTTGTTATTATTTTCCCCTATGACCCTTATTAATCTGGATGATTGTCCCCATTTTTTTCAAGAAATTCTTGCCTCTAGGTCTACAATGTCTTCTGAGAAAAAGCCAGAATTACTCCAGGATCACATGGCTTACTGAGAGCCTGTGAGATGTGTATTTGGTATGTGTGTATCTTCTCAAGGTGAATCTCTGTGCATTTATTGATACCGTTGGTAAAAGATACCAGACACCCATGATCATTCCTGGACATAAAAACATTATYGGTTAGGACACTAAGATATACTATTTTATTTTAATACTCTCCCTCCTAAAGCATTTTCTGCTCATTTACCTAAATTTGTCTTCTGAAAAAAAAAAAATTAAAAACTGAATTTTGTTACAATAGGAGCAATCGATASTAAAACATACAATAAATAAAGATGAGACACAGTCATTTCAGAATAAATGTTCTAAAAATCTCCTTTGGAAAAAAAACCCAAAATCCAAACAGGAAACTTCAGGAAGGTGTTTCATTGACAGGCAAACATGTCAGCATCAGGAAATGTTTCATGTCTTCATTATAGCTGTCAGGCTGATATCATAAACACAATAGTTTGGTGAGTTTATAACAYTGGCAGAACATCTGATGAAAATCAGATATTAGGGTGAGAAACAGGAAAGGCCAAAAACCCATTTGGAGCTGACAGAGATGCAGGTAAGATGCACGGAAATGAGTTAATAACATGACAGAATATGAAATGAAATCTCTTTACTACATAATGTCTTACAGAATCAAGAGTGGAGACAGAAAAACATGTTTTCAAAATGAGCCCATTTTAACCACAAACACCAAAGCTAAATTACTGCAGCACACACTCCTAGAGAGTATTAAAGGCAGTGTGTGGCCATTTTTCCTGCAGTTTGTGTGTACAGATGACAGTTTCTGCTCAGATTTGCTCCTTTTGATCATGCAAATCCTTAAGCCAAAAGAGGAGAGAGGCTGAAATGGCCAAGGCATGGCAGCATTTTAATATTTGTGTCCATTAATAGGTGGAGAATTCAAGCTGCAAAGCTGACAAAATAATGTAGCCGCATCCTCAGTGTTACATCACAGCAGAGAATTTTTTTTCCCCCTAATAGTTTTATTTTCCTATTTGTTTGGTTTTTTCTTTTTTTTTTGTGAAGGCTATTTTTGGATTTTAAWAGATAGTTTTACTGACTATCAGACATTACTTTGCATGCATAAAGATAAGAGAACCTTAAGGGTATTCCCCAAAACATGCTTTCCAGTGCCTGAAGTGCTGTTTTTGGGACATGTATCCAAGACATGGAAGGTTTTATTTGCTAATGGGAGATCTGGAATGCTGAATGGCTGTGAAGACATTTTCTTTTATTGAGTGAAGCCCTAAGGTGATCGTATATTCAGTATAACAATGAGCCAATTTATCCCCACTGGGTTATGGGAATTTTTTTATGGTACCATATATGCTGCATCTGGCACAYAAGCCCATTAAAACCACAGGCTAAATGAATTGTAATATGTTACCCATGCTGTCTGGGAAAAAAAAAAGAAACAATTAAAAATAAATCTACCACTGAAGAATGATTCTGCTAAAAAATATTCTGATTTCTGGAGACCACTAAAAAAAAAACCTATCCCAAAATCCTCTTTTCTGAACAAAGACAATCTCACCAAATGATTTTTTTTTCCATTGCATCATCAATATTAACACTGTTCTACTTCATTAAGAGAACAAGCTATTTAGAGAAACATGAATCAGGAAAGTCACAAGATTCTGATTTGGCTTTCTGATTTGCTGTTTGACAAATATGGAAAAAACAACATTTACCAGCACTTTTCACACCAAAAAAAAAAAATCCTAAACTAACAAAGACTATAATKTAATACTGCATAATAACCAAAGGTGTTTCATGTTCCCCCCAGAGCAGATGAGCAGAGCTTACCTTGGTGCTGTAGGTGTGTCCATCAGAGCCACAGACAGCGCTGGAATGAGCCAGGGGACAAGGCTTGCACTTTGCCATGGTGGCTGCTCCAGCCCAGTGCTTCTGGGCCAAGTTGCCCTTCTTTTGTCGAAGGCTGCAAAATAAAACACACCATGGTTTTTGAATGTTTGTGTAAAACAGAAGAACTGAGGTTTCTCTGGATAAAGCTGGATTTTCAGCACAGTGTTAATTTAGAATCATTTCRGTTGGAAAAGACTTTAAGATYGTYRAGTCSAGMCATTAACCCAGCACTGCCAAGTCTAYTAAACCATAATTTAAAGCAAGAAAATTAAATACTAACAATGCTTTTRTAATATGGCACATTACAGCAGGCAATCTAAAAAGCCATAAATTGGTAGGCAGCCCTAGATTTACAACACTTGGTGGTTTCATTTTGATTTATAACTACAAATCATTTCACTTCAGAAYACAGCATTTGTTGAGCCACACAGCATTTCTGGCGATGTAGGCACCATTACACCAGGTTTTATTTAGAGACATTTTCACCAGGCCTCCTCAAAGCTGCCAAACTACTGCTAAGGTAGCAATGATCTTAAAATCCTTCAAAAAACAATGAAATTTATACTRTGCTTATAAAAATGTACAGAATCACTAAACACTTTTGTCACTGTTGGTGCAGGAGCCCTCTCGATACAGCAGCACTGAAGGATCAGCTTCTCAGATCAATCACAGTCCCCCAGGAATGCTATGAATTCACCAAGATCATCTCCAAATCCACCAATGTGTGCCCCCTGGGAGTGATTGCAGTTGTCTTCAAGTTATAGAATACTCAATTATTGCATTAAAAATGTCTATGGAAAAAGACATCTGCTCCAAAAACTTATTGCAAAACACGTGCCATTGATTCTGACTACYGGCTCATTTTCCTGTCATAATGAACTACTTGACTGATAGGACATTAAGTAATTATCACCAGCCTAATGTTGTAARCTGCTTAAAAGTTTGCTTTAGAAACCCCAGTCCAGTGTTACAATGCAGATTCATTTTGGTCATGTGTACTTGTCTTTCACTTGAAAGCACTTACAAGGGAAGGAAAAGCATTGCAGCAGCTTTGCTGGAGACTGGTAAGAAAAATAGCTGCCATCTGTTCTTATACCACAGGAAAAAAAAAGATACAACAGTTCAGCTAGAAATGCATTTCAATGTGCTGCTGAATGACTTTATCACACTTTTAGAAAAATATATACAGATTTTTTAAAAGCAATTTCACTACAGCTTCCAATTTGCTACATGATACCAACKCTGATGTAATGACACATTCAGCTGCTAAATAATATAAATTCTGTTCTTTCATCTCAGTTCTAGCTTTCCCCAAGTCTAACCTTTGCCAGARATGAATACTACTATTAAGACGATTGTGTCCACAGAAGGAATCCAATCATGATATAATGAACTTTGAAAACAGAAGCCAAGYATTTAAGACTAAATTCCCTTGTTATTTTGAAGAAGTCTCCCTAATGCAGAGAGCAGCATCCCTGTTTCAGATGCATTCTCCTCACAAAGTTACCATTACAGCAGATGCTAAATGCTGTGCATGGTTGGTTACTCAGATCTGAACCCTTGATGCAGCTCTGCGGATCTGATCTCCTATACTGAGCCTGTACAAACTGTTTATTTAAGTTTTCCAGAGTAACTGATTTCTCTGCAGCCTCCAACAATGCTTTGTTATCAAAATGTAATGATTATCTTATTTTCTTGAGCTCTTCTGATTATAGGCATGACTTTAGCTTTTTTTTTCACCCTGACAGGAAAATTTCCTCATTTATTTTACTTACAGCCCTGCACTTCTGGAAATACACAAACTCAGAGCCAAAAATATGTTTGAATGTTGCACTGTAGATACTGATGAGCACAATCTAGAGGCAAATGTGAAAGGAGCTGTTCTCCTCTGGAGACTACAGAAGGTCATAGCACAAAGCAGACTTTTTACCTTTTCACTGACTTTAATTTCCACAATCTCAAMAGATAGAACCTTTGCTATACATAAAATTGCTAAGAAGAACATTTTAGGATTAGTCATAGAAAAACAGCYAAGAAATGCTAAACTTGAAGTGTGTGATTTAGTGCTATCATCATCAAAGCCATCAGCCACGAAGCGTGGAGGATGGAGAGGAGAGAGTGAACTAACGAGCTCCTCATCAAAATTAAATATATTGCAGCTCTTAGCTAGACTGAGGGCTAACAAATCACAGAATCTGAGTGGCAAGCATAAAACAAATTGTACAGCATTTGTGGACCACACTGCAGCAGATACTCTACACTAAAACCTTAAAAGAAAAGTCCAGTCAGGACAGGGCTCCTTGTCCATCTCTGCACAACCTTACACCCTCCTGCCTTTAATTTATGTAACCCTTCCTTCTTTGTTCCCTTCATGATTCATCTTGCAARAACAGTTCCTATTGAGAAAATTTTGGTGACCCTGATGATGTTTTTCACTCTACCATCATCACTTTAAAAAAAAAAAAAAATGGATTGTTTCACGCCATTCCAGCAGCTCATGGAGTCTGGTGATCCTTTCCATCACTTTACTGAGAGCACAAAGAACATGCACAGCCTTAGGCAATACCAAGCCTGGTGTGTCCCCTCAGTTGGGGACCAGAACAGGCTCACCTGAGGCCCATTTGCTCTGTTTCACCTTCAAACAAAACAAGAAATATTTACTGTTCCTAACCCCACATCCATCTTCAGGATCTTCATTTGAGAATAAAAGGAAATTTATTCTCTCAAAGAGAGATATTTAATAACAAGGAGAATTCATGGTGGAGTAGATCTCAAAGCATTTCACTAATTTGAAACAAAAACAAAACAATTTTAGTAGAACTTCATGTAATGTGTATAATGAGAAACCTGCAGCTCTCTCACTCCTGCAGGTGCATGGAACTGGTAGCACAACAGCCATTTTTGTTGCAAGAAATAGTCTGGCTTTCAAAAATTAATTTATTCCTTTCAAGATGCATTTTTTTCCCAAATGATAGTGMAAAGTATCACTGTATTTGAAGAAAGTCAAAAGCAATTTTTGTCAGCTTGGCCAAAGGAGGAATACCTGAAAGTTTTAACTGGACACCCAGATCTCACACTCCCACCAAAACTACAGGTGAGCACCTACCTTACAAAAGGAACATCTGTTTTCCAGAAACAAAAATGTATTTTTCTGCAGTCGTATTTTGAGAGGCTGCATAGGACTTTTGGAAGCTTTTCAATCCTATAACTCCTAACAACACATCAAACATCCAAACAAACAAATTAAAACCTAGACAAGAATATTGGCTTCCTTAAGCAGGCAGCCAGCAAATCCCTTCTCAATGGAAGTGCACATTCACACACTCTGGGAACACGATCTGCTGTGCTAATCATCTTGGTTTAGAACAAATATGTCAGGAGAAAGCCAGGCCAAAGCAAATTAGACCTTCTTTTCTTTTTTCTTTTCTGACAACCAACCTTAATCCTGCTTTAAGACTCTGAGTTAAAAGGATCTACTGCTATTTTCAGTATTACAGAAGCAAGCACACGTGAATGTTTTGGTTAAGAATTACAAGCAAACCCTGCCTGCTTTTTCTTTGCAGAGTGGTGAACCAAAAGGCAGAAGATTTCAGGAGTTGGTAAGTTTTATAGAGTTCAGCCTCTTGGTGTTTTAACACAWAAAGAAATTCCAGCAGTTTAAAGCACTCACACTTCACACAGGGAGAATGCAGTGACTCGAGTTGATCACTCTTTCCACACTGCAGAAATACAGGGATCTGACATCTGCTTGGCGTGCACAGGAGCAGGGAGAGCCTCAGGCTCTGCAGATGCCACCAGGCAGATGCCAGGACAGTGCATGGCAGCTCGGGGCAGCCAGAGCCACCAACACCTGCACAGCAGCACAGGGCATCCCAGCACAGAGCCTTGGCCAGGCAAAAGGGAGCTCAGAGGAAAAGTGGCTCCACTCAAGGTTTTATGGCTTCCAGGAGCGCCCTGAAGAGCCAGARGCTCAGCCCTGGCTGGGTGCATCAGTTCTGGGCATGGAGAGCCTGCTGGGGAGTCTGAACTGTGCCTTTGAGTCAGCGAAAGTTTGTCCAACAAAACATCTCAAACTGACTYGTATTAAGAAAAAAAAGATCAAAACCCAAAAATGCAAAGCTTTAATTGCTGACCAAGCCTTTGATTGGAGGACATAGGCTGAGCTATTCAGCGAATCTCTGTACCTTATAACAATTTTCTCAGGGACAGCAAAGAAGAGCATACATGGAAATAACCTCTGGCAAAGCCAGGGGTCAAAATAAAGGTACTTGCAAAAATAAATAGTGCTTTGTTTCTTTACATTTACAGTTTGATTTATTTACATTTAATTTTAAATTTGACACATTCAGACTTTTCGTTATGAAGAAAATGTACAACATTAAGAGCATCTTGCTCTGCTTTCAAGACCAGTTACTCCCAAATGCACATACAGTAAATTAGCAGATTAAGCACTGATGGGTGTAGTGCAATCACAATTCAGGTTCCTTTGGCAGGCTGCTGTTTTGAAAGTCCTGACAAACTTTTAGGATGAGGCAGAGAGTAAATAAAAGCTTGTCCATAGGACTTGAGAACTGATTCAGTAACTTTATTGGACAAGAAAAAGACACTTTACCCAAAGGTGTTTTTGTTAGTTGAGTTTTCAAAGGTCTGCTGCAAATAATAGCAGAAAGTTTCTCAAAAACCCCAACAAAGAAGTTACACAGTTTCTTCTGACAGAAAGTATCAGGTAAATAAATGGTGAGATTGGTACTGTCTCTTCTTGTTCTTTAACTTGCTGATTCAGTGATGTTACACAAACATAGAATTTGGTTCAATTCGTGTTGCAAATTACTTACACCTATCCGGTTTTCTGGGCTTAAAATCATACAAACACTTACTTCAGGTCCTATTTGAACAATATTGAGCTGGTCAGGATTTTTTTTTAATAGAACAGGTGTGAAGTATAAAATACTGACTTGACAAAACCAAATAATTTCATGGCGATAAAGTAGTGTTACTGAACTTTTACTGACATTGCCATTCCTAGATGGGCTGCAGGAAAGGCCTTTTCTTCCCAGCAGTCTCTTCCAGAGA